ATAATTCTGACATCACACTTAATTTCGCCTTGTCATATGTCGGCATTTTGGAACAATAATAAACGAAGGTATACGGCTTATCGTATTGTATGCAAGACACGTATTACGGCTATGTGATACTTCTATTGTCGCTGGAAACAAATCAGTCGAAAAGCTGAATAGATACGAAGTTAAAGAAAGTTGAAACTTTTCAACTTTACTGAAACTCATTTTTCCATAAAATCGTGGACAGGGGGGAAGCTCAGGAGTTTTGTTAGGGGATCTCTTTGACGTACGAACTTTCAAAATTTAAGATTTCAAAATTGTACTTTTATAAAGTTCAAGGAAATAGTTCAAAAGCCAATGGTCATAGCAATAATCCAATTACATACCTCTTGAAATGTCTGCGAGCGAAATTGTCATCGATTACATAAGAATCTCGGTAAACATTATGATGCATGTGTATTGGTGCTTATCGTTTGTTCCTGACACATTGCTTCACGTAAAAATGTTTCAGTAACCCGCGCTCACTATTTTCGCGTTCTCATTTGGAACTGGTTACACTCATCGTCGTGACAACTATAAGAATCGCAAGGCTGTTTGGATAGACACATATAAAGAAAATAAAATCAGATTAGATTAATTGACTTAATATATTTGAATTGAATGTAGATAAATTGAGGTAAATATTTTATTCGTTCAAGATTTGTTTTAGTTAATTGTGGTTTACTTTGTTGTTTACTTTGGCATTTTCTACGGGGGGGAGGGGGGGGTCTCATCATATACGAAGGTATATACATATGTGCCGCTAGAATGGGTCCCTTTTTTGATACGTCAAATATATCAATTGGGTGCAATTTTACCGAGGAAATATATCAATAGGTAGTAATTGACCAAAGTGTTTTTAATATATAATAAGATTGTATATGCATATAGGTACTATTTGAGCTGATAAATATATGAATGGGTTATGATTTCGCTGTGAAATATATGTATAGGTAGGGATTTCACAATTATTCGATATATGAATGGGGGGTGTTTTTTTAATCCCAGCTGCACAACTGTACCCAAAATCCCATGTTGAGACAACCCCCCCCCCCCCCCCCCCCCCCTGTGACATTTTCATCCTAAGAGCCAAAATAAACCATAAAATTACTGTAGAAAAGAAACAACGTATATCATTATATCATTGTGTTTAATGTTCAAAAGGACATAATTAACAGTTACTGTTTTTAACGCTTTTTTTGCTTATTTTGATTAAGGAGAAAAAAATTATAATATATTTAGAGATTGTGTTTGAAATTACACTACACTGAACATTGTTGAACGGCTACACAACATATAGTTATATTTTAAGATTCTATAGTGTCTTTATGATTTTTTCAAATGTTGGGAAAATATAAGTATTAGCATGACAAAAAGGGTCAATAACATTATTTGTTAAAATCCATCCACAACCGTACAAATGTATATGTAATGAGTGACCACAAAAATCAGTCATTGTGGCCGTCCTGTCAGCAAATTATTGTTATGATACAGTTACAAAACACTTTTTGCATCTCCTATCCAAATATTGTGTTATAAATGTATTGTAAAGAGTGGTAATGAAATAAACTTCGAATCATTCATATTCCCATTCAACATTTCTTAAACTTGTAGAATTTAAAAAAAAGACATTACCTCCAAAAAGACAACTATTATTAATCAGGAACAGTTTTAAAACCACACTGTCACTCGCAGATCTGTTTCGGTCTCGTATCAAAATATTTTTGATTTATACAAAAGTCCATACAAACTCAAAATGACAATAACAACTTTGCATTTAACAAAGTATCCTATTGAATGAATTGTGTCTAAACGATATTTCAAAACAAGGAAATTTTATTGTATTGTAATACACCAACTATCAACAGACATGCAGCACATTCGCAAGGTCTTCACTTCTTTATACAGTGTAACTTAAACATAATGTGAAAATAAAATAAGTTTGAAAATTAAAGTATAAAACGTTTTATCAGTTATCAGTTATTAGTTTTCGTTCATTTGCAACTATAATAAATGCTTTGTTGAAAAGAATGGAAGTTCATCTTACGGATGTATTCTTCTGATATTTTCAGTCTCGTTGAAATCTAGTTCGTGAATTATTTTTTTTAAAAACAGGTGATACAAGTGGAAAATTTTAATGAATTTAAAAAACATTATAATCAAACTAAACTCTGTGACTTGTGTACTTACAATAAGTAGTTTTTGAGTAATGAAATTGTCTAATTTTATAACCAATCAGGTCAGTGTCATCAGCCAAAATGTTGAGAAAATAGATGAGGGGTACAAAGAAATTATTTTATAAAAAAATATGTACATCCCATATCAAATTTTTCTTTTCGAAATTCTTAGATATGTATTTGTTTAATCATATGTAAGAAAGAAGTTGAAATGATATGCTTTTTGTTCTAAAAACAGAGAAAAAAATCCAAATTTACAAAATTAACAGCATGGTCAATTTGACACGAAAAAGCAACAATTTTTATAAAACTTTCTAATATTAACACCAACCTATAGTTTCTCTAAGTTAAAACAGATTGGTCCACTTAATCCTTAGTAAAAGTATGAAAACAAGTTTAATTGTGGAACTGTAATTTTTGTCCCGATAAGAGCCCAAAAATGGGTTAAAATTGATGAAAAATGGGAAAATCATTGATAATGGGGTACTTTCAAATGGCTGTAGCAAAAAAGGAAGTGCACCATCATATGATTTTTTCTTCGTCAATTACTTCCGTACAGTCATATAAACCCAAAAATCAGGTTAAGAAAAAAAGAATAATTCTAGAAAAAAATATTTGGCTCCTCAAAGGTGTACATTCTTAAAGTGCATTGTGTAACAAATGTATTTGTTTGTGTTGTGACCTAGTATATAACATATCAAAACAAATAAAATAGATAAATAAAAAAGGCCCTTTAATCAAAATAAAAGACTTTTTTTCGAGCGAAGGTGTGTATTAATGCCGGACACATATATAGAAAATGAGAAACAATCTTTTTTTTCCGGATGCAACGTCAGCCTGCTGTAAAATAATTTATATGATAAAACCTAAGCTAAATGCATCTTCTTTTCACTTTTTTTTAAAGTGATAATTCTAAGTTGCCTTCTTTTTACTCCTTGTTTTTCAGTCCTCTTGTTGTCGACTTATAATTAAAAGGAGGCCTGTGGCAAACGTCAATGAGAACTGGATGTATATTGTGATGTTCTTATCTGGCTATATACAAATTTACATCGTATCCCTTTTTATCCAGTTTTATAGTTCATATGGTGGGTGCTTCTTTTAAGCTAGTATACTACATGGGTAGGAATTACCCTGGTCCATGTTAACATATTGTTATCTGCTGTAACAAAATGCAAATTTTTTTGTTATTTCAGTTATTTCTGGTAGTGAGGTCCACATAAGTCAAAGCGCTGTTGGATTAATAGGACAAAATGATACAGAAATAAAATGTACCTTTATTTTAGAGGAAGGAGATACATTTTCTGCTGTGTCCATTCTTGCAGAAAATTTAACAGACAATCAATTCCAACCCATTGCTGCATTCATGCAAGATCAGATTGCTTTTCTTCTGCCATTTGGAAAGATTTTGTTTGAAAACTACACGGTGGAGAAAACAGAGAAGGAATTATTGCTGGTATTTGATGATCTCAGATGCAAACATGGAAGGCAATACAGATGTTCATTAACAGTTTTTCCAATAGAAAGTGTTCTAACGACTGAACTTTATTCAGAAATAATGCTGATATCTGCACAAGGTAACAACATGTCTTCTCGTATAAAAATTAGTTGCTATAAGTATGTATGAAGGATTGCCGTTGAGGATTGTTACACTCTGGTATTTTAGAGGCATATTCTTATGCTTTAAATAGTCATAATTTCGAGAGAAAAAAAAATAAACAAAATGTAGGATTATATGAAGTATGTTTTGTCGTACGTAGGGTAAGTCAAACAATATAAAAAGAAATTTGCATACATTTGTATATACGTATATATTGCAGATATCTCTTCTAAAACCTATAAAACAAACATAATGAACACAGAGAAGCAACTATCAAATTTATAAAAAAAACAATAATGATCAAATAACATAATAAAGGTTAATATCGATCTGTATGAAAAGACATGTCTGAAAATCGTAAAAAGGTCAAACATATTCGTTTAATGCGAACACTTCATTTTAAATAGAATAACGAAATGTTAGCAATGGCATCAAACAACCCATAAGCCGATATACCAACCCAATGGCGATACAATGAATGACATCATGCGTATAACAAGTGTTTCTAGTATGCACTTCCATTTTTATAACACAAACATCAAACCATAATACTCCGAATTCAACGTTGCTTGAAGAAGTTAAGCTATAAACTTTAGTACTATATTCCGAAATGATAATAGCATAAATTTACAAACAATTTTAAGTTTTGTTTCTTTGTTAAGAAACTTCTACAAACTATATTCGGATCAATGATTGCATTAAGTTATATTTCCGATAAGTCAGCGTTTGTAGAAGTTGTTTTTGTTCAGTCAGATATGTTTTTATTGCGTGATACACAAGTTGACAATTTTTGGCAATGAGCTATCAGTCGAACAAATAGAACATCACTGTTAAGAACATCACCGGTGAAATTATAATTTTACCAGTTTTCAGTGAAAACAAGTAAGGGTCACTCTCCTCAGAAATTAGTGTCGACCGTAAACACGCATATCTTTTATTGGGGTTACAACTCGACTTTAACTAAATAGTATGTAAATTCATGCCAATTACAATTATTCAAATATTATTCAAAAATCGGATTTCTTTTCATCATGTTCAATTTTCATCATCAAATGGCAATTATTACTTTTTGGACGTGTACTAGTTTATGTGCTAAACAAAATAATCAATCATATTTTATCAGAAATAACAACTATGCAAATATTACGTTATGAATATTTTCAGTCAAACCTTCGAAACCTGAAATATCGTTTTTAAAACATATGGAGAACCTTGACAGTGTTTCAACAATAAAGGACAGCAGCAATATTATGGATATTAAACATGAACCAGTAACATTTGTGGAGGGAGAAAATGTTACATTTAATTGTTCTGGTGATGTTGGGAGACCGCCTGGGATATTTCTGTGGCAAGCAATTCTTCATGAAAAACAAATGCCATTGTTTTCGAATACATCACTCAACGAAATACCTCAATTGTGTTCCTATAATGGTATAAGTGTTCTGAATCTCCAAGTAACCGCGGAAGACAACCAGGCAAGAATAAGATGCAAAGTACAATCTGGAGTATCTGATGATGCCCTGTATGTTGAATCCGAAAGATTAAATGTTTACTGTAAGTACGAGGTATTTAAATTTCAAGTAGTGTATCAATAATTTATTTTAATCGTCGATCTTGTTTTTGGATGACGTATTAGTAAAGGGGACACAATCCATTGTTTAGTTGTAACTAAATAATCATTTTTTTAAGTCACATGATCATCAATGTAGCCAAGTATTTCGATGGCCATTTGTTATCATACAAGATCGAGAATTAAACAGACACTAATTCGTATAGTAGTTAAAACAATTGGATTGCAACAAGAGGTAAAATCAGTGTAAGTATTTCCTGATATGCCTATTTATTCTGTCTTGCGATTCTAAAAACACAATCAGTATCAAACCAAGTCACGGAACTTGGCAAAAGAAGTATTAATGTGACCTTTGTGGACATGTAGGATATATGTAGCAATTGGAATATCATTAATTAGTTTTAGAAAATGAGAATATGAGACATACTAACGCATGTTACGATCAACATGATCAAAGGTAAAAAGAAATACTAAAATTATTGAATATAAGTCGATTTGTTGTTTGTTGCCCATCGGCATTTATTTGTAATTAAAAAAAACTTTTGCATGTGGTATCTCCAAAGCGCCTTTGTTACTAAACCTTAATTGGGAACACTCACATCTAAATGACCAAAAGCCCGGGAAGAACAATTAGTTTTCAAGCTATATCATTGACAAGAAACAAAAAAATATAGGCCAAACCATGGAATGTCACCCTACGGAGTATGAACTAAATTTACCACCTAAAAATGTCTTACTAGAAATTTATCTATTGACAAGAAACAAAGTAAAGATATCAATAAACCTTACCCTGAGAAGTTTCCTGACAGTTCACAGGGACATATGAGATGCAAGTGCGAACCGCAAACATAATTATTGAGTGACTGGATATCAGCATTAAGTTTTAAGTAAGAAAGAAAAGATTCAACTAGATGTATTTTCTTTTCTTTTCATTTAGAAGGCTTTAATAAAATCTACTTTTTAAGTTAGTTCCATTTTGCAGTCATTGTTATACTTATGTCAATCTACCAAGCGCAACAATTATGTGGATCAAATATTCTGTGATGTCGACAACTTCTACGTAGGCCGGTCTTTTTATCGGTGTGCTTCATAAAGGAGCAAAATGTTTCTCCATTGAAAACAAAATGTGACAAATGCGTTGACAATATCGATAGAATATACAATGTTGGGAAGCAGACGATTTGTTACTGTTTAATGAACATGGTACTGCAGAACGCAGAATGTAGAAAGAATACTATCCATACAAGTTTATTTAAAGCGTTTCAGAATCTAACTCCTGCGGATTTACCATTGTTACTATGTCCCAGTTTCTCCTCCAACTATTGACAGTTAATTCCGACACATGGCCAATATTACCATGTATATCAATCGGATATTAGTAATGGTTTTCCCTCCAATTCAAATCGTTTTCCTCCTTTGTAGTATACATGTATTTGTAAATTGACGCGTATGAACTATTAGCTAAATATCAATATACCATCAGTATATATTACTTAAATAATCCTATCAAAATGAAAACGAATATACTATATTTACTATTTAGGGTTGTTAGTGTTCGGATAAGTTCGGATATGTCATAAAATAATCTGCAAAAAAGTTAGTGATAAGTGCTTTCAGTTGCCATAATAATGTCATTAAAAGGAATTGAGCATGTAATTTTCTTTTCATGGCAGTTAAAGTAAAAGATCCAGTAATAATAGTATATCCTGATGAACTGATTTATGAGATAGGAGAGCTTATTAAATTGCAATGCAAAGCCAGTGGTAATCCGGCGCCTACTTATACATGGATCAAAGATAGTAGTTCAAATGAAACCTTGTCCAGTAATAACACGTTTGTTATCCAAGAAGCTAACATCAGTGATAGTGATTTATATACTTGTCTGGTGAATAATTCCATAAATGATATAGTTTATTCGGCAAAAGGATCTAAATATATTGAAATTGGTATGTTGTAAGCAAAAGTTTTAATGGACTATTTCAAAAATAATAAAAACCTATGTATATTCTTTAACTTATTGTGACAATGTAACATAATGGAAGACTGGTTCAAAAACAAAGTTGGTTTTAAGCCAACTTTATTTCATCTTAGCTGTACTACCAAAAAACTTTTCAAATTTTTTAGGTTCATCAATACATAAAACGATTTATTGATAAACTTTAAATTATATGACCTATGTCTCAACAAAGTGCATTCATCTATGAAAAAGAAAACTTGGTATAATTGCCAAAGATGTAAATATACGCAAAAACAGGAAATCGCACGGTCTTCAACAATGGGCGCAATCGATACTACATAGCAAGCAATTTGAGGCTCTACCATAATAAGATGTAAAACAATGTAAACAAGAAACCCAATCGCCTAACTTATGCAACAATAAACAAAAAACCGATATAATAGACAGCAACCAACGACGACCATTGAGTTACAGGCTCCTGGCATAGGACAGGAACATACATAGTGTGGCAGGTTGAACATGTTTACAAGTTCTCAATTCTCCAAAACTCTTGGATAGTGGTGTAACAGCACACAATCAAAACAAACTGTAATATCTGTTGAAAGAGGCTTCATTCATCAAATCAATACAAAGCCTAAACACAAATTATGAAAAAAGACTTAATACACAAAGTACCGATCCAAGAGTACTTGAAAATATCGACAGTTAGTCCAATGCTGATTACAATAAATATATAATTCATGCTCAATTACTTAGCATAGACGTTTACGCTTTACCATTACAGGTCATATCGTGAACAAATATGCTGTTTCCTGTTTGATTGAAGTCACTAGTATTGAAGAGACAGGCATCATAACAAAACGATGCTCTTCAATATAAAACATACATAAAACTGCTGTAAAGATAATGTGAAACGTTAACATCTCATTTTTGTATTTTGTTTTGTTTAGTAAAGTACAGATGGATATATGGAAAATCAGCAAAACTTGCAGGTAATTTCAAAAGTCATTTAGAGTTTGCTGCAGCTGAAACACCACGTGCTGTCTTTATTTCCTTTATAAAGTAACACTATGATATGTTAGTCAATCCACGTGCACCATCAGTTTCATTTCTCTGGTTACGGTTTAATGTCTGCTATGTTTTTATTGTGCTGTATAAATAGGATAATATACAAACGTCTGAATATATCAGCTTATTTGTACATGTTGTATTTGTCATAACTCTGTCGAAAAAAGTTTTTGGGTCTCCTATACGATTGATCTTTGTTTTTTAACAGTCAACTTGTATTCAGATGTATATTGCAAGTCATTTACGAATAACAGCATTTAACGCACGGAAACTACAATAAAAAATCCTTCAAAATATCAACAAGTAAGGTGTCGCTTTATATGATTTCTAATAATAAAAGGCGAAAAAGTTTATCAATAATGTTCCATCCCCGAACATTCATGGGTAAAATAAGCCAAATCGTGTTCGATGGATAATAGTTGTTTGCTCTCAAAGCCAGTAGGACGTGTCGTTTTAGAGAAGTTGTGTTCAACAGAAAAAATTGTTTGCAAACCAAACAGCTGTAAAGGTACAATGTGCTCTTCCTTTCCCAACAACAAGAACACGTTCGATTGCAACACGTCCAGTAATAAAAATATTATAGGCATATTCAATTCAAGAAGAGAGACCTTATGTAAAGTTGATTAAATCACTGAACATCCAATGATATATAATTTTGAAATATTTTCTTCTGACACGATACGACTAATACCCCTCCAAAACAGTCCGAGCGGGAACGTGTTACTTATGACATGTAAGGGTTTGCTTAGTGTTAAGGGTATGTATTGATGATAATTAGTTTTTGAGAGAAAAGCTGAATTTAATAAAGCCTCATTTGGTTCGGGTCCCTTAAAGTAAAAGATCCCTTCCCCCAAAAAAGAGAAAAGGAAAAAAACATTGATTACCGAATTAATATTATTTTCATAAGACGTCTTCATTTTATGATGTTTTATTTAAATTCATAAGGAGATTATCAAGTCATTGCTAAAGTTTTTTTTATCATTTTGTTACTATTCTACGGATGAAAAGCAAAACAGTACAATAACAACTTATTTTAATGTAATGGTTTAAGTTCCTTACATTATTTGCGTTTGTTTCATTTGACACGAAAACAACGGCAGAAATTGATAGTGCAATGATTAAGACTCACTCATGCAATGCACTCCTCTATATATATCAACATTTTTCTCACTAGAAGAATTAAAATAGATTCAATTTTACTGAAGTTTATCTAGAATTGCATTCAATCTCGGTTACTATTGTGTTTAACTAAAATCACAGACACATAGTTGCATACTAAAATGATGCGCAAACACTGTATGTATTTATCTCTGGATCAAATGGAGAAATAAACATCAATAAAAAAACACTTTCTATAAAGAACATCAAATAGTAAACAACTTGAACTAATCAATTTCTGAAGGTGGACATATTTCCTCGAAGTAAACGTTTTTATAAAATTTTCAATTTCTCAAACAGGGGTTAGCAAATTTGATTCATCCTTAGAGCTTATAAAGGTTATGATCTTTTAATTTAACCAATCATCTTCGGAGATTATGGGCAACCACACGTTGGTTAAATGATTTTAAACAATGGGTTCAGAAAGGGTTAAATTGCCACAAGAATTAGAGATTTGAGGCAAAATCAATTATTTCTCCATACATTATTATTTTACTTCTACATATGTATACATCTTACATGCATAATATCAACGATAATGAACCGATGGTCAACAAACAAATGGCGAGCCCAATCTTTGTCCATCTTTTAACTGAAATAACGTTGTAATGCAAAAATATGATGAAAAACAACATATGGGAAATAAACCATACAAACCACCTGTGGACATAATAATCATCTTTTAAATAAAGTGTCATACATATTTGAAAAGGAGACATGTTGGTCGTTAGATTTGTTTAGTACCATATCTAGGTAATTATACAATTAAGAAGACGTGGTATAATTGCTTTTGATATAACTATCCACCAAATGACGTAGATGTAAGCAACTTGTAAGACTTGACGCTTTAATATATACTTAGTTATTCATCATAATGAAATAAAAGTTTTCTTTTTACTTCGAGGAATGCATAACTAAGTATGTCCATAAAAAATAACAGGACTGTAAGTAATAGCGTTGAACCTCACGTTTGCATGAATACGTGAATTAAAAAAACAGTAAGAGAATACAAAATTGGTAAACAAAATCATATGTCGTTAGCCAAAAGTCAAACATAGTTGAATAATATTACACAGATATCTAAAAAAATAAATAAAATACCAACAAAATCAAGGAAACAGTAAGACAGTCATTTACGTTTTTGAAGTTCAGTTTTATTTTTCAGTGTTGATTACAGTTATCAGCAGTTCCATAATGTTGATCGTAGCCACAGGATGTATAATCATATATCGTCTAAAAACTAGGTATTACAATTAATACAGGCTCGATTAAAGGCACTTGAATGATTTGCTGAAATAAATAAAAGAAACAAATAACAACATACAGAAGATATACTGGGAACAATAAAAATTATGTTGTTTGAAATAGACATAAAATTAAAATAAACAACTAAGAAAACTAAAAACTCAGAAACATTTAATCAATTTTCCGATCAGATAATTCCTCGTTATTTATGCGTTTTGACGATCTATTCGTACAGTTCATGATTTTTCCATAAAAGGGAAGAGACGCTTAAGACCATTTTAGTCTAACAAATGCAGTTTGACTTGTATCTTGTAGTTTTACTATCTTTTATGCTCACGTGGATGACTAATACATAAGTTTTTAAGGACCTTAATTAATATATATAACCTAAAGCAAACACAATATGAGTGTGCAGTCACATGGCTCAAGTTAACTAATTATATTTTAATGTTAGATGTACGACTTACTTTATATTATATAGATTACATTAGCTGGAAAGTGTTCCTTCCACAACATCTGCTCCATCAGAAATATGAGAGTTGTGAAATCTTTACTACATATGTTTTACGGTCACCATCGCGATATATTGACCGATACGATATGTCTGTTTCTCAACTACCTAACGACATGTCTTTGCAATCTTAAATCTTTATCGATTTTGACATATTCACGATTGTAACATGTTGACTGAGAGTGTATTCGCTGCAGATGACTTACTCTGTTGACGCTGTCGGTCTCGCTCTTGTTTGAATTTATTCAAACCCCTCCGTTGTTGTGTGTTTCTTGTCTTTATAATCTATTTATGAGATTTAAATATTGGTAAGCTAACTGATTTACCTGACAGTTATTATATTTATATATTTTGACTGTTTCTAGCCAGGGAAACAAGTATCTTGATACGGTTAGACCTCAGAACCAGACATTGACCAAACCTGAAATTCTTGCGTACGAATATGCTGCAGTTAGCTTTGAAGGTCTAGAAGAAAGCAGAGTCACATTAGAAGCATCAAATACTTTTAAACAACAGACAGAAAAATATAAGAATGATAAGTATGTTTTTATAGAATACAGTTTGTTCAACATGTTCAATATTTTTTATTTAAATAATGTTTCAATTTATATTTTACACAATTCATAAAATGTCCCCAAAAACTCATTTCAACTGTGTTTTTTTTTTTGTGTGTGTTAAAAGACAACCTAAAACTTTGCAGTTTTAAGATAGTATTTTGTTTTCATGTTCTGCAGTTTACATACTGATCAACGATAAATGATAATGACATGAATGAAGTGTACATTCCAGAGCACCTGAGATCACCCCAAGTTTTAGGTTGGATTTGTGTTGCTCAGTCTTTAGTTTTCAATGTTGTGCTTTGTATACTGTTGTTGGTTTTGGTCGTTTCTCGTTTTTCCCATGTACAATGAAACCTGTCTTAAGAGACCAATAAAGGTAGAGCAAAACGGTGGGCTCATAAGACAAGTGGTTTTTTAATACAGGTTCAATCTATATATAATGCACTACAGAGGGATTAAAATAAATGGTCTCATAAGACAGGTTTTTGCTAAATACATGGACATGTGTCTCTCAAGTGGGTTTGACTGTTTTTGTCAATTCGTTTTCGACTTATAAGTTTAAATACCCCTTTATAATATTCCTCCTCTCTTTCAATCTGGTTTATTTTGTTTGTTGCTTTTTCTGAACCAGAATTGAATGATGCCGTTGAGGACTATGCCACAAATAGAGCGTTTTGTAATTTAAAAAAATGAATTGTCGAACAGTACATCGGTTTTAATTTAATTTTATTTTTTTCGTCATGGTTTGAATACATGTAGTTTTCTTGTTTTTTTTTTTTTTTGTTTTTTTTTTTTTTAGGGGGGTATATTTGACTATATACATGATATAAACTTAAAAGTATCTTGAACGGTTCCTCATTTCTAATTGCGTTTGCAGTTTACTTTAAGTGACATACTTAGATAACATGTTTGCAGGTAACCAGGAGAAGCGTAAAAGTTAATAAACCATTCGTAAAAAATATTAGGTTTATATTCACGTTAAAATTTTGTTTTGTTAATACAAGGGAGACATTCTACTCAATACATTGCTTATATTATATAATACATCACGGAGAAGCTTAATCATTTGTGCGCTTTATTAAATACGGATGGTCTGTAAGTAAATGACGTCATAGACTATAGTGTATTACTTTAAAATTAAAAGACAATAAAACCAGAACAATCAGTATAATAAATTAAATAAACACATACTTGAGAAGGTGATAGAGCAGATTATAACCCCTGCAATAAACCATTGTCAACCTTGGCCTCGCCTTGCTTCGGTTGATAATGTTTTCTCGGGAGAATACTCTGATATATCACCCTCTCAGCTATGTGTTATTGATATAATGTTGTTTATGAAAGCCGCGCATTGTATAATCTTTTTTTCATGCGTTAGATCCTCCAATACAAGAATGTCCGTCTGATCTGCAAAATGACCCATTACGTCTTGTTATCTAATGTGAAATAATGAAGGAGTTTGAATTGCATTATTGGATAACCATGGATAGTAGAAGACGCTTACCCAATCAACATTTTGAGTTCACGCGATTCCCTCGGTTGTTTTTATATCTTTGTTTAAAATTCAAAATGAATGTTGCAGTTTTTAACATTATACTAATGTTGTCTCTTATTAATAAAAGTAGAGAACGACAATATACAAATAACTGTCTTCATTTTTACACGTTTGTGAATTTTATATTATAAATAATTGGAAAGAATAATTAAAATTTTGATCATCACGTAGACGTTACATTCTTACCATTGGTTCATCATTATTTATAAACTTTTTTTTTTTTTTTTTTTTTTTATTGTTTCAAACAATCAACTGCAATATCAGCATCTGTAAGTGATAAAGAAACGATGATCAAAAGTAAGACTGGAGATATTCGTGAAAGCCTTGAAAATCATTATGCACCACCCGTACCAGAGATATATGACAAACTGGATGATAGAAGACATGAACCTAATATAGCTGAAAAGTTTGATACAAATGTTGAACTTAAACATTTATCGGAAGATAAATGTGTAATGTAAGTTTGGATGACTCATTGGTTGACTGCATAACCATATAAAAAATGAATGAGACAAACTGAATGTTTTACCTCCAGCAAGTTTGCTTTAACAGGATTTTGTTGAACCTAGTTTCCAAACAATTACGTTAAATCATCTATTCGATAGTTTCACTAATCTTAGAGCTTAATTCACTTCTTCAAAAGACCAAAAACACATTCGTACAAATTTTACTAAGTACAGACTGGTTGCAATAAGTATTGACATCGCTAACCAAAGCATATTCAAACCCATTACAACTATGTCCAGTGATGATGAATGACGTAGTAGAATGCTCTTAGGTATTTGATACTTTCACTATAAGTAATATTTAACACCGGAAATATGTCCATTATAAACTGCTTGGCTACTTCAAAGATAATACTGCAACTTTCATTTCATACACCCACACTCAATGAATTACATCCAAGATTTTCAAACTCTTGATGTTATTAAAGACCTTGCTGTCAATGATGCAATTTGCAAAAGTCACGATTGTTCATGTTCATTGTTCCTATACAAATACTGTCCCGCTTGTCATGTTATAAGCGGTAACCTCATCAAGTACACAACGAACAATTTAAAGAGTCATTAGCCAAAGGTCTAAATTCAAATTTCCCAGCCAATCAACTGGAAGAACAACTTTAAGTTACTGAATGATGCCGTTGAGGACTATGCCAGAAATAGGGTTTAGCGCGACCCAAATGAAACAAACCTGGACATTAATATCTTAGGGGATCAAAGCTGTTCGTTCATGCATTGAGGAGCATTTTGAATACAATGATGTACCATGAGCAAACGGGATGATCACCATTTCAATGATATTATACTTTCTATAATAGCCTACTCCAAAACATTTTATCCCAAGCTTAACAATTTTACAGAAAAACCAGATCCTATAACTTTTCTAAGATCAACACTAATATTCCTAATTGACAGATCACCATAAACTCTTAATATATATTGCTTTTTCTACAAAACTGGAAATCAAATTAATTGTTATAATTCATTGAACTACGCATGACGTAACGTTAATTCATTCATGTTGTATATCACAAAAATATTAAATGATCGCAATGATTGGTTAAACAATATGGCGTGCCAAAGTTCAAACTCACGAGAGACAACCTTGTTTCCTGATTAAGACCCTCCAATATAAAAATAAAATAACATTGTGTAAAACCACACGTATTCATACAACAAATAGACCGACGATGGTATGATCAAAGTACTTGACTTTTGTATATACAATATATTTTTAAGATTGATATTTTTACAGTTTATACTCAAAAGGATATAAATTGTGAAGCCCACTGGTCGACATCCTTGAATACTCATGTGAAGCCCACTGGTCGACATCCTTGTATACTCATGTGAAGCCCACTGGTCGACATCTTTGTATACTCATGTGAAGCCCACTGGTCGACATCCTTGAATATTCATGTGAAGCAGATTGATACACAACCTTATCAAAGACAAAACGAAATGTATCTTGCAATGTTCTATTTCTCTTTCATATATACTGATGAGGTCTTATCACTCTTATCACTGAATAACCCACATACTAATGAATAATTACATCTTATATATTCAAAGGAACTTTAGAAGAATACCTCCAAAATGAAAGGTCTGCTTCACATCTTGATATTTTCCTTGATATTGACGCAAATGAATATCTTCAAACTAAATATGTATAGCAAACGTGAGGATTTTAAATTTCCAATCGTTTACTTCCTATTTCCTTTCAGTGATGTAGCCTAAGTATTATCGTTTTCATCTCTCTCAATATTTACGTTACGCTCCTGTATGTTCACACTATACGGACTTCATTAACAGGGGTGTGCTCATGCATAACGAAGAACTCGTGAATCGACACTACAAAAGTGGTATACGTCACCATTACTTATTGGCTGTCTGATACAATATATTTGTGTATCAACTCACTATTGACATGTTTTCGCGATATAATATCCTGAATAACCAGAATTTATCTGATCTGTTACTATAACGAGTGTATCCTACTCCTGATTGCGACATTAGGATTGACTACGGATTCGCACGGTGGGTGAAACGTTTATCCTCTCAACCGGTCTCGTTACGTTTTGAGTTCATACAGTGCCCTGTTCATTATGTTTTCTTTTAACTTGATTTGTATCTCCTAATGAGTGTTTGTTATATAAACACAGGTTAATTACTGTTGCCTCAAATGTAGGGAGGCTATCATGAGTTGTTTAGCCGTACTGGATAATTTGTGTTTCATATCACCCAATTTGACGAAGTCAAAATCCCTTCCTTTTTTCCTTGATTGTGACATCATCTAATGCGATGTATCACAAACTGTTTTTATTGTTTTGAAAAACAAAACTGATGATATTAGTAGAAAAAGAGTTGTTTGCCCTTTGGAAGCACATGAATTCACTCCCATATTTGGTAAATTGTATACACTAGTTATTTTTCTGTGTATTATTTTGTGAACTGTTGTTTGTATTCTTGTAGTTTTTTTTTTTAAACATGGTATTGTTTGTTTTTTCAACATGCGGTTTTGAAAATGCATCTTGGTATCTCCTTTCATAATTCACGATTTTAATGAATAGATATGAGGATATATATATAAAAAAAACAACGAAAGAACACAGCACAAGAAAAGCTTTTCAAATTAACTTATTATGTAAAAATCAAACATGCACATGGAAAATAATTCGGGTTTTAAAGATTTACAAAAAATGTCACATATCATTCAAAGATTTGTAAACTACAAATCAACAAAACAAGTTTATAACAACTAACTATAATCTTATAATTTAATTTTGGATGTAACGCGTCTGCTGATTGGCTGACGTTGTTTTGTTTATCAGCTCATAGACATAATTTAGTCATGTGACCGTGACGTCATCAACGTTTTTTCATTGTTTACTCCGGTTTAAAATGGAATTTAGAATTAAATTATAAGAAATAACTGTAATATTTTATCTGTCTATTCGAAATAACATAAAAAATGTGATGCACACTTTAAAATAACCCACTACGCGGGTTATTCAGTGTGCATCACATTTTTGATGTTATTTCTTCATAGACAGAAAAAATATTACAGTTATTCCTTAAATAAACAAAACAACATATATTTATCTGTTTCAATCTTTTTTACAGAGAGGAAAACAGAACAGATCATTTAGCACAACAGTCAGCTTTTTGAGATTAAAAGAAAAATTCAACCCTGACAAGACAATAACACAATAAAAGACACATCAATTTATTGAAAACATTACCAAACTCATTTTAATTAAGTTGTGTACCTTACGAGACTTATTTTGTGATTGTTATAACTTTAATGTCATTTTCAGGAAATTAACATAACAGAAACAATAGGCGGAAGATAACAAAGGGACAATATAAATGCATACGTCGAAGAGGACCGACATCACCAAGGCAAACATTATACAACATTTTACAAAATTACAGTTTAATCAACACGAACCCCGAAAAAAAACCGGGGTGATCTCAAATATTCATGAGGGGTACGCTGATCCTGTTCCACTGTTGCACCCGTCGTATTGTTTATTGAATGTATTGAATTGAATGAATTCGGGGGAAATAGGACGGGGTTTCGACCACAAGAATTTGAACATATCTTTGGTCATCTATGACACAGATATTCAATAAGAATCAACAAATTCATGATGGCGTCCGTTATTTTTCAAAGTAATCCTCTTAACTTGACCACTTCTAACATTTGTTAAAATAGCTTCCTTCTAAGCTGCAACTTTCTGTCAAAAACAACATGGTGGAAACGCAAGTTCTGCAATATCAACCGGGATGTATATATACTACATATTTAGGCACTGCAAGAATGTTAATCTATAGAAATGTAAAGTTTAAAAAAGGAAAGATGAATTCATCTCTTATGTTGTAATTTTTTCCTCTAAATCAAACCTCATACAATTACCAGATGTAAGAGATGTGGCAGACTTAATTGTAGCTGTCGTTTGCTTTTTTCAAGTTCGAAGGGATATACGTGTTTGTAAATATGATTTACTAGTTTAATACAAAATGTATTGATCGGTACTGCAAACCTTCTTTTAAACATATACCATAAATGTGATGAATATAACAGGGCAGCCTTGATTTTGCTGTATGGTTCATAGGCATATAACTATTCACTATGAAGGACGACAATACGCAATTTCAAAGATAGTGTGTTTCCCAGGATCCGATTTCATTTTATAGACACAAGTTACATGATGACGTCAAAAACGTTTTAGTACTCTCAGATCAGTACTTAGTGTATTTTTGTTTTTGGGATATATCAGTGCTCGTCCACCTCCACTCTGTGTTTTTGTTAGATGTATTTCTATTTGTATCCATCTGATGAGTTTAGCCTTTTACAACTGATTTCTATAGTTTGTTCTTATGTTGTACTGTTACACCACTGTCACAGGTTAGGGGGAGGGTTGAGCGCTCACAAACATGTTAAACCCTGCCACATTCTTTATGTGCCTGTCCCAAGTCAGGAGCATGTAGTTCAGTGGTGGTCGTTGGTTCATGTCCGTCATAATGGTTTTTCGTAAATTGTTTTGTTGTAAATCAGGCCGTTAGTTTTCTCAATTGAATTGTTTCATATTTTTCATGTCGGGGCCTTTTATAGCCGACCATACGGTATGGTTATTTCTCATTGTTGAAGGCCGTACGGTTGCCTACAATTGCTTACATCCACTTCATTTGAACTTTGGTGGATAGTTGTCTCATTGGCAATCATACCACATCTCCTTATTTTTATAGGGATCAGCAACATGTCTTATCACCTAAACATATGTTTACAACTGGACTAGGGCATAACAATGTGAAAGTGATTACAGAGCTTAAATTTTCACTCATGATTTTTTTATTAGATGATTGCTGCTTAAGGAAACTTTTAAACAAGATTTCCAAGTAATGAAGTTGAAATATTCCCTTCGTTATTTTACGGACGACATCACAAGTTGGTTGATCGGTATGGAATAATTATTTCACAGATGAGGACAGACATTTTCTACTATCGTAACCAGAATCCCGACCTCTATTCCTCGACCAACCGAATAAGACTTATCACTGGCTTTGTACTAACATGAGAACGCAAGGGGTGCCATAAGTGGAGCAGGATTTGCTTACCCTTTCCCGGAGCACCTGAAATCACCCCAGATTGTTTGGTGGGGTGCCTGTTGCTCAGTCTTACGATTTCTATGTTGTGCTTTGTATACTGTTGTTTGTCGTTTGACCATTTTTTTCTTTTTTGCAATGGCATTGTAATTTTGGTTTCAACAAATGAGTTTGAATATCCTTTTGGTATATTTCGCCCCTTTTGTAAGTGACATCTGTTCAAATTTGTCAATTTGTTTAACATGTTTAATTAGAATGTAATAACGACTAACAAAATGTGTCTTATCACTACTTGACTTACATACCGATTGAAACGGCAACTTTTGGGGAAATTCTGTTTTAAAATCCAGTCGCTTTAAATGTAGTATTTCTTTCAGAGTATTCGATTTGACTTTTTCAAGTTCATTCATTCATGTCATTTAAATTATTTCTGGAAGAATGTATACAATGGAAAAAGAAACTAAAGTTAATTTAGCAAAGTTTATGTTTTAAGTATAACAGAAGTTGTGCAATACTTTTTTTGAAACTTCATCAATTTTAAAGAACTCGCGCCAGCGTGCTGTTATGTGACAATGTAGCGCCACATAAATCCGTTTGAGTAACAGTTCAAGAGCCTTTTGTATTCTTTTGGAGAATACTTATGGATTTATGAAATAGATTTTATTAATTCAAGCGACATTACTATGGATCACACTGTCTTTTACCTTCCGGTGTGATTATGATGTCTTAATTATATCATGTCACTAGAATATGCTATTGACATAAATTGATATCCGATTTACAAATCAAAGAAAAAACACATCACCGCAAAGACCAGATTTATATGTTTGGTAAACTCTGTAGTGTCCGATAAGAGAGTAATTTGGAACGCTAGAACTCAGATGTCTGTTAGCATACAGACGCTTATTTGTATTAGTTCGTGACTGCGGTGCAACATTGTGTGTATGCAATGATTCCAAGTGTGTCTGTCTGCCTGACGGGGTCATCTGACTCTCAGCTCATGTTCATTGTTCAGTCGTCCAAATTAAGCTTTCAGAATTAGGCAAGTTTCTCAAATAAAATAGGCAAAACAGATGAAATCAGTTTTAAACAAAAGTACATTTTTGTAATCACTGTCTTTTATGCCAATTACTCCTATAAAGAAAATCAACCAACGATGTCAGCAATATTGACTCAATTGTAGCACTTGTCTTTTGGATATTTTTTTTTTTATGTTTTAAATTTCGCTTTGTTAAGTTTTAGAATTAAAGACAAAAACGCACATAAATTTGTTAAAATCGACAATAAGGGAAATAACTTTTATAAAGAAGTCAACGGACGATTTTGGCAATTAATGCGATAGTAGATATTGTCCTCCCGACCATTTGTTTTTTCGTTTTGACATTTCTATTTATCTATTATCGTTTTCAAGACAAATGGCAAAAAAAACCGCAATTAATAAGTAAATTTCGTCATTAAAGGACAATTCTATAAATGAGGTAAGGATCAGGTGGGATCGTCGGACCCATTTTTAACCCAGACATCCAAGTGAAGATTGTGGTCAATAGGTGTTGTTTTAATTCGTCTAGTAGTTTAAGAGAAGACGATTTTTGTAAATGTACGTGATGACGGACAGAGGACGCCAAGTGATGAAAATAGCTCGCTTGACCCTTCAGTTCAAGCGAGCTAAAAGAAAAAACAATATGGTTGCTGTGTGTATGTCTTATTTATGTTGTTTTTAAAGATTTCTCTTACGTTTTAAATACCTCTCAAATTTTATTAACTGATATAGGAATAACCAAATGCATAATATAACAATTTGAACAAAGGCTCTTAAAATGTATCAACAACGCATTCAAAGACCAAACCAGTGGACTCACAACACGATTGAATGAAATAGTGTACCCGACTTTCTCTTCGCGACCTTGCTCATCCCTTAAGGCCCTTTAAAGGTGAGTGACAGTTTTATTGTTGACCAGAAGATGTTAATACCCGACATTTGCTTTTATTTTATTTTATTATAGTCATTATTTTATAATTAATCTAAATCAAGCTTTTTATGAAGGTAAGGCAATGTGGTATGAATGTCTAGTGTGTCCATTCCAAGATTTATTAAAACATAAAGAGTCAGGACTTATGATGTCAATTGTGTTTTTTTAATTTATCTATCTATCACTAGAGTTGATCATAAACAATTGAAAACATGTGACAACAAATTGTATACATAGTGACGCATTTTACTTTTTTTTTCTTCGTAGAACAGATGTTACGTTTTATCATATGAAAACAGACATGTGTCAAGTGAATATTTACATGAAATGACATTTGTTTTTTTAAAATATTCACGTCTTAAATGTCATCCAAATCGATTTTCATCTTTACAAACGTAAGTTATAGGTTATAAATTAAATATGATATTGTATACATTTATCAATAAGACAGCTGCCCAATATCAGCATAAATGCCAAAACAACCAAAGATTAAAACAGATTATAAAAATGCAATTAATATTCGGTAACCTCTATCCTTCAACAAATATAGCATCAAAATCATTTTATGAAAAAAATTGAGCAACCAAAACATCCGAAAATCAACACAACGTACTTGGACAGTTAACTCCTATTTGAATAAGTTTCAAGTCTTAGTCTTATAACAGAATTTTTTTTCAAAAACAGTAACATAAACAGTAAGTTACTCTATGCAACACGTTTAATGGGACCATTTTGACAAAATATTTTCCTTCAAGGCTACTTACGTACAAGATGTGCATCATACGACCAAAACAAAAAAATAATATAAGTTTGCACTGTACGCAGACGAAAAGTGACTTTTTAAAAACAGTTTATATCTGTTCATCTTCAAGTCATATTTAAAAGTATTTTTTTTTCTAAAACAATAACATAAACAGTAAGTTACTCTATTCAAAACGTTTAATGAGACCATTTTGACAAACTATTTAGCTTCAAGGCTACTTACATACAAGAAGTGCATCATACTACCAAAACAAAAAGATACTATAAGTTTGCACTGTACCGTACACAGACGAAAAGTGACTTAAACAGTTTATATCTGTTCATCTTCAAGTCATATTTAAAAGTATTAATTCGATTTGATATATGTGGTTTTAAAACAACATATATCAAATCGAATTATCAAATACCATGATGGGTTACTGTCAGT